TGCTATTGAGAAGCTTCAAGATCTGTTAACCTATGGCTTGTGGACTGGATCTGGCCTGCAGAGTCATTTGATCTGGCCTGTGGATGTGGGGCTTTGGCAGTTTTTTGTGGCAGGGGGCTTTAGGGGTGGGACTGTCCCTGTGCAACTGCAAGGACAAGTGATGGCGGCAATGGGAGCTTTCTCCATGCTTTTTTGGGCAGAGGCACAGATGGTGGCTAAATCCCAGCACCTGCCTATCGGCCTTTGACCCAAACTGGGTTATTCCAGCCTACAACCTGACAAAGTTGCTGACTGCTGATATAAGGTCTCCAACGGTTTTTCAGCTCGTACTAACCCTTAGAAAGCAATGAGATGCATATAAACTCTAGCCAGCTCCTTACACTATTAAGATCTCCATCCCCAATCCAAGGCAGGGTTTCCTCTAGATGCACTCTCTAATGTGTCAGTTGATGAGTAGAAACAGGTGCACATATAATAACAAGATCAGCATTCATTCATTCATAAGCAATGTCTTCAGTAATATAGTGAACACCACTGCGAAGGAATGCAACCACTGATGTAATCAAACACTCTGCTTAGGTAATCAGAGCAGTGAGGATATTGTGTCCATTAATAAATCATCACTAGGTAAATAAGAATACACAAGTAGCAAAGAGAGCTCTCATGCAGCATGCTACACATTTGTTTTCTGTAGCATTTTACAAACCAAATGAAATAAAAGGAAATCCTGTCTAGATGTATAAATCATCCCTCCCCCAGTTCTGTTTATATAAGGAAAACAGTTGTGACTTGGCGGGGTGGTGGGGGGTAGTCAAAGCCAAAACAATCTTTATTTGTGTCTTCTGTACAGATAAATCAGAGAGCTCTGTAAACAAGGTACACATCTTTCTGCTGTGGGTTCTTATTGGTTTCACATTCTGCTGTCTGGGACTCAGATCAAGCAAACACCTTTTAGCATATTATGTCTGTCTTGCTTCAGCATCAATTTCCTTGAAATCTATGCACCAGTAATATGGAATAGGAAAATATTTTGTAAAAGGTTTTGACCATCATATACAGCTGTTTTGCATACTGGAAAGACTTGACTGGCTAGGACAAAACATTAATTAGGGCTCTGTTGGTACCACAAGCTTCCTATGGGGAAAAGGATTACACTCAGACCTCCAACTCAGCTGTTGCCTTAGAGTACACTGATTTTTACATCTATCAGTAAGATAGATGTTGTGCTTTGGTGTTGCCACTTGCATTCTACAACTTTGCTCCAAGCCCTCACTCAGTAGGTTCAGCCCACCTGTGCCTGAAACAATTTTGGCAGATTTCAGCTTGAGTTTGACTCATGGGCACTGAGACCAGAAGAGGTTTTATAACATGAGAAAACAAGAAGCGACTTAGAACTTAGGTAGGAAAAGGCAGCTGATGGTCCTGCATTTCCTCATTATGGACTAGATGAATGTCTACAAATTGAATGCAAGAAAGACATCCTTGGATTGCCCTGGCTTTTCCCCCAGGGGTTGGGGCTTTGATGGTGATCCAACATTCAAGCATGTGTCAATTTCAGAAGCTGGCTTGGAATCTCCGCCTTCCTGTGGAAGTCGGGGAATCATCCTCCAAGTGGGAAGTTTTGCTTTATCACCTTCTCATTCTTTTGGCCAAGGGAAGAGCCCTTTGCACTTCTGTATCAGATAAGAAAGAACTTATTTCTCTGAAGAAGCACAAAGCCCTTGCTAAACATACTTTCGGTTGCCATTTCTCTTTTGATTTCTTCTATTTTTAAATGTATGTCAGAGGGGCTTAGAGTGCTCAGAAAGGCCACTCTTGTTTTATTTATACATCTGAACAAATAAGAATCAATCAGGCTGAAAGAAGCTGGTGTCACTAAATGACTGAATCTTCTCTGCAGCTCAGCAAGCTAAAATTGGCCCTCCTGTAGATTCACAAATGAAGTCCCATTGTATAATGCAGTGCCCCTGCTTATCTCACTGTATGGATCATTTTGCCTGTCAGCTAATTGGTAACAGCATTTCAATAGTGGGTGCAGTAATTCTTCTACATTAGTGTGTCAAATGCCATTGGAATAAAACCCTGAAAAAACTTACCTGTAGTGATACTGGAAAAGCTTCTGGTAGATAGCATGGGGTAGGGAGAAGCATGTTGCCATTAGCCAGATAACAGAAATGCTCAGAGCTCCTTTTGTTAGTGACATCCTTTGCTTTAGTGGATTCAGAATGACCTGTAATAAAGATTTTCAGTGATTTCTTATCTCAGTGGAAAAGTGAAGGTCCTTCATTATGAACTATGATGGGTATTTTTTGCTATGAATTCCATTGCTGTTAGGACAATCACATCATTAAAAATGTCACACAAGAATGACCCAGAAAAACTGAAATCTAGAACTTTCCAGTTAGGACAAAAGAGCACTTTCAAGGAAACTTGTTCTTTGATCAGTGTTGAGAATGATTCATGCCTTTAAACCCTGGATTATTTTGACTACTCCAAGACCACTGCATCAAATTGTCTTCAGTTTAAAGGATCTTTATTTTAGAGAAACTGAATTAAGAAATATATTTTTAATTGAACCTATACATCGTACCTTCCCTGGGGGATAAAGATTTCATGAAAGTAGGAGCAAGCTCTTTAATTTTTAACATACTTCAGGATGATATTTAGGTTCTGGAGATCATAATTTGGGAAGCTGATGCCATAGATACAAGTAATAACATTTGGGTAGTGAGCTAGAAGAAAAAAGTGCTATATCCAACTGCCAGTCAAATTAGCTCCTTAAATACCACCAAACTTTGTCACTGGCTCTGTCATTTTGCAAGTCCTATGATGTGGAGGCCACCACGTATGGCATGGTATAGTGGTAGGAAGCAGGGCTGTGCAAAACACTATTGTTTCATTTTGGCGTCCGTTTCACCATTTCAAAGGGACAGTGTTTCGTTTCATCTTTTCATTTTGTCTCGAAGCACTGTCCCATTTCGTTTTGTTGAAACTGTTTAGCTGTTTCGACGCATTTCAACGTTTCGCCCATAGGTTATAATGGGGAATCATGAAAAAATCTAAAACTTTGTGATTTCTTGCCTGATTCAGATGAAAATTGCAGGGATGGTAGCCCCTTCTGAGGGCATGAAGTCTGACAAGTTTCAAGGAGATAGGTGTAGAGGTTTCTTGTAAACTGCACCTCAAACTGCAAAAAGCAAAACTCCTGACACTTGCCAGCAGTGGCAGCCTCCTGTCATCTGGTGTGCAGATCCAGGGGCCCGCACCCCCAGGAGGGCTGTGGTGCTGTGTCGGATTCCTCCCGGGGGTGCAGGCCCCTAGATCTGTGCTGGGTGACAGGATGTTGCTGCTGCTGCCTGGAACTGGTGCTGGGCACAGCCCGCGAACAGTGCTGGGCTCCATGGAGCTCAGCCCAGCGCCAGGAGGCAGAGCACTGGCTCTGACCACCTCTTGCCACTGGGCTGCGCTCCGTGGGGCTGTGGAGCCACTCGGAGCACAGCCCCAATGAGAGGCAAGCAGAGCTAGGGCTGTGCTCTGATCAGCTCTGCCAGCCCCAAAGAGCTCAGCCAAGGGCTGTGCTCCTCCACCAGTCTGAGCTCCATGGGGCTGCAGAGCTGCTTGGAGCGCAGCCCTGGCTCTCCCCTGCCCCCCACCACCAGACTGCTTTGAAACTCAAAATCTTTCAAAACTCCTGAGTGCCCTCATTTCATTTCAAAGCTTTTTGTGTCATTTCAATTTCACTGTTTCAAGCTTGAAACGCATCAAAACAGCTTTAAAACAAAACACGGCAAAATTTTGCACAGCTCTAGTAGGAAGGTTGTTCCTCAAAATACAAAATAGTCATTATTGCAAAATAGTCACTATTTGGAATACAGGCCAGGAAAACTGAACTAGAGTACAGTCTAATCTAAAAGTGCTGCTCTGGAAGCAGCTTTTGCAAGTGGGTTTCCGAAAAAAGAGAGTTCACTGCTGAATTCTTTACAGTGAGGGTTGCCAAAATATGGTATATGCTTCCAAGGGAGGTGGTGCTGTCCCCTTCCTTGGAGGTATTTAAGAGGAGACTGAACAGTCATCTGCCCCAGCACACTTTCCTGCCCAGGGCAGAGGGTCAGACTCAATCTAATAGGTCTTTTCTGACCCTAAAATCTACGAAATCTATGATATTTTTTATGGGTTTTTCATAACATATCATGAGCATCCTGTTAAAATCCACCCAGTGCCCATCCATACGTGCACATTTCCTGGCTCAACGACTGGCTGTGGGGGACCCTGGGTGCCCCCCCCCCACCATACCCAGGAGACACCAGTCACTGAGCCGGGGCTGGGGGGAGGGTCCATTACGCACTCCATGGTGGATCTGGAAGTGGACCGGAAGTGCTCTTGGTCCACACATGGCATTGATTCGCTTTAACGCATGCACGTGTATATGCCAGCCTATTCCTGCTTTAAAATTTAAGTAAATTTAAGCCAGAGTAAATGCACATTTACATCCCCCCCAGGTATTTAGGGGGGCCCTAAGGGCCAAATCTGAATCGAATATGGCCTGCTTCATGCTCCCATAGTGGCCAAGTACATGCATTACATGTGGCACAGGCAGTCTCTGTAGCATGTGGCAGATCAGAGGGGGAACAAGCAGCACAGTGGCAGATAAGGCAGGAAGCAGAAAGTAGAGCAGCAGATTGGGTGAGGGAAGGGGGCTAGAGTAGTGCTTGGGGAGGGTAGAACTTATACCAGGAGAACTTATACCATTCTCCAGTTCTCCTATGCAATATGAAGTTTCATTTCTACCTGGGAGATACTTTACAATCTTTCAACTCTCCTTTACCTCAGGAAGGGTGCATGAGCCCAAAAGCTTGCAAATAAAGACATTTTTTTTGTAACTATTTAGTTCATCTAATAAAAGAGAGTGCCAGTACCACAAGAGTCCTGACTACTTTGGGAGGGTGCCACTCTAATCTACTCTAATTTGCAGCATGCCTGCCAGAGAGGTTGGCCCTCATTGGGTTAAACTTTCTTCTCGTTGTTATCCCAACCTAGATAGGACATGCTACTGTTTTGGGACATCTGTGCTAAAACGCATTTTGGGCCAGGATGGGAATTCCATACCTGATGTCTGTCCAGGGCTATGGCTGTTAGTGTCAGCGTGGAAACATGGAGGGAGCAGTACTGGACAAAGCGGCTGATATGACACATGGCCTTTCCAAAGACCCAAGTGCTGTTCACAAACCGAACCTGCAGAAAAATTGACAAACCAACCCGAGACAAATAACGTGGATTTGAGGACATGGATCCTCTCCTAGTGCCCTCCATTTCTCTAGCCAGATGTCATTTGAAGCCCAAGGAAAATACTGTCAATTTTAAATCCTCAAACTCTTCAACAATTTGTTTACAAAGGCTAAGACTAGAATGCAAGCTATTTCTGAGAGTCAGAAAGCTTTAAAAGCTCCGCACCTAGTTTGGAGACTGAAAAGTTTGAGTCCGAGTCATACCCCACCTGCCTCTACATCAAAATAATTATAATCAAATATTCTATACAGGGTGTGTCTACACATGCAATTATGGCACATGAGTAAGCTGTGGAGCTTATTGCTCTGCAGTTTACTGCTCCAGGGCAGTATCTACATATGTGCTGCTGTGGATACTATTTACAGGTATTAACCTGCTGCAGAGTATATTAGTTTACTCCAGCCTAATAAGGGCTCATGTGTAGATGCCAAGATGTTTACCGTGCAGCTAATCTGTCAACTGCACAGTAAATGTCTCATGCAGACATGCCCATAAACATCTAATCTACACCTTATCAAAGCCCCAGTGCTCTGCTGTGGTTCAAAGGCAATGGTTGGAAGGCAAAGTCTGAACTTGTTCTGGAAAGATGAAAGGAGATTTAGAGAGGCCCTGGTTTCACTTGCTCAGCCACATCACTTAAGAGTTGACCCTCATGGTGTTCATTTCACATCTCAGACCCAGATGTGCACAGAGGGAATGACACTATCATTCTGTTAGATGGTTAAGGCCACGTCCAGCACCCTGTTGGCAGGCATGGTAGTATAATAAGGCACTTACTAGCGTAAAAGGAGTGTTGAGCAGAGTGATCATGATATCAGACACTGCCAGGTTGACAATGAAGAGGCTGGTGGCTGAGTGCATCCTCTTGTTTTTGATCACCACGTGGCAGACCAGCGTGTTGCCAAAGAGGGACATGATGATGATGACTGAGTATGCCACAATCAGGAGAGCCTTCACTGTGGGTTTCTGGGACTCTGGTTCATACTTGGCCAGCTCAGCAAACTTCTCCCACTCAACAATCCGGCTGTCTGTCCAATTGAAGGCTGTCCTGTTGGTTGCCTGGTAGACTGACATGAGCTTAGACAAGGAAGAGTAATGGTCAGACTCCTCCAGAATTCCTGTGACTTGGGGAAAGTAGGGAAGTGATTGAAGCAAAGGGTAAGCCATGGTGATTTCCAACTGTTAGTTCAGGTGTAGACACAGTTTAAGGCAGGAAAGACTGTCAGCTATGGTCTAGCAATTGTTTCACTGCAGAAATCTTTATTCTCTATATGCTGGAAGGGATGCAGTCATCACTAATAAAGCCATGATTTAAAATGCAAAGTTAGAAAGAGACAATGGGGTGCAATCAATTCTTGAACTGCACAGTCAGGAAGGCATAGGGGTGTCATTTAATGCTGCTGCATAGAGCGGAAAGGGAATTGTGCAGGTCTGTAGGCTCTCATAATTTTTTCACATGGCCAAAAAAACTCAGCAGCAGCCATGGTGATAGGTGCAAAGAAAAGCTAATAGGTACCTAAGGCAAATGTAGAATCCTGCCTTCCTCCTTCTAAGAGGACCCCCACTACTGATACTTTCATTCTTTATTTCATTTTCTTCCTTTCTGTTGAACTTAAATACAAAGTCAGTTTTCAGAACCATTCTTAAATGCTCAGATACTGTTTTTCTTTATCTAATCCTTACAGTTATCCTTTTTGAATTCAGGATTTGTGCATTGTAGAAAAATAACTTTTTGTGGATACTTTTCTATTTTCTCTTCCCCACAGTAGCTGTGAATTTGGCTTCCAGTCTTTTGATATTCTGTGGAAAAAAATATCTTTTTAATGAAAGACAATTGAACACTTTCTCGCAACATGGCTTTTAAGCCACAAAGGACACTTTTGATACAAATAAATAAATACATAAACACAGAAGAACTTGAGCATTCCTTTCAATTCAAAATCACTCCTAACACTTTTGTGCTTTCCTGTAAGGGGCACATCCTCTAGATATTTTGGCAGCTGAATGGTAATGAATAATAGACAGCTGAAAAAAACCTAGACTGATTGGTCACTCTGAATAAGTATAGTAGAGCTGTCATAAAAAAACCCAAAACATTTCTTACATATTTAAAGAGAGACAGACCATAATCTTGATAATTCTCTGAAGTACTCAGCTGTGAAAATGTGTGTAGGCAGCAAAATTCACATCAGGATTTCAGCTGTTCTAATGATGTCTGTAATTATCGGGCATATTTTGAACTGTCATTCCTTATGGCACTTCTGAAAGGCAAGTGTCAGCCAATGGCATTCCCTGTAATAAACTTTATACCACAGTGGTCAAAAAGTTGTTAGCATATCGTGACAATTTGGTTGTCTGTTTCCCAGTGGTTTCAGTCCATGTTCCAAGGTACAGTTATGGTTCCCAGACAACTTGTAATAGCAAAACTTACTTCCCTTATAGTATTTTTATCCATAAATCCTCAGGTATTTTACAAGGGGAAAAATGTTATTACCCCTACCTCACACAACCTGAAGCAAAGGCACAGCGATGACATGCTTTACTACTGCAAGACCATTTCAGGCTGGACATAAGGAAGAATTTCTTTACTGTCCGAGCCCCCAGGGTCTGGAACAGCCTGCCATTGGAGGTGGTTCAAGCACCTACACTGAACACTTTCGAGAGCAAATTGGATGCTTATCTTGCTGGGATCCTATGACCCCA